CATCTACTCCTCCTTTTTCTTAGAGGAATAAGCCTTGTGCATACATCGAGCGCCACCAAGTTAATCTGTTCTAGGCATAAGTTGGGGTCTGTGTTGCTTAGTATATCTTCCCAGCTTATATCAGTTAGGATTTGGTTTACTTGGTCCCACTTTATGTTTTTGTTATTGAAGTTGAATTTGGTGAATGCTCCCTCGTCTGTGACCAGGCCTCCTGGTGGATCAGAGCCTGATCAACCAGGCTGTTACTGCTGGCTGCACGCAAACCAACGTACGAGCCACAGCCCGGCTGGTCAGGAACCGACTTTAGGTGCTTGTCCAGTGCCAGCTTGAAGACTGCCAGGGGTCTGTTGGTAATCCCCCTTATGTATGCTGGGAGGCAGTTGAACAGTCTCGGGCCCCTGACACTTATTGTATGGTCTCTTAACGTGCTAGTGACACCCCTGCTTTTCATTGGGGGGATGTTGCATCGTCTGCCAAGTCTTTTGCTTTCGTAGTGAGTGATTTTCGTGTGCAAGTTCGTACTAGTCCCTCTAGGATTTTCCACGTGTATATAATCATGTATCTCTCCCGCCTGCGTTCAGGGAATACAGGTTTAGGAACCCAAGCGCTCCCAGTAATTGAGGTGTTTTATCTCCGTTATGCGCGCCATGAAGGTTCTCTGTACATTTTCTAGGTCAGCAATTTCACCTGCCTTGAAAGGTGCTGTTAGTGTGCAGCAATATTCCAGCCTAGATAGAACAAGTGACCTGAAGAGTGTCATCATGGGCTTGGCCTCCCTAGTTTTGAAGGTTCTCATTATCCATCCTGTCATTTTTCTAGCAGATACGATTGATACAATGTTATGGTCCTTGAAGGTGAGATCCTCCGACATGATTTCTCCCAGGTCTTTGACGTTGGTGTTTCGCTCTATTTTGTGGCTGGAATTAGTTTTGTACTCTGATGAAGATTTAATTTCCTCGTGTTTGCCATATCTGAGTAATTGAAATTTCTCATCGTTGAACTTCATATTGTTTTCTGCAGCCCACTGAAAGATTTGGTTGATGTCCGCCTGGAGCCTTGCAGTGTCTGCAATGGAAGACACTGTCATGCAGATTCAGGTGTCATCTGCAAAGGAAGACACGGTGCTGTGGCTGACATCCTTGTCTATGTCGGATATGAGGATGAGGAACAAGATGGGAGCAAGTACTGTGCTTTGTGGAACAGAGCTTTTCACCGTAGCTGCCTCGGACTTGACTCTGTTGATTACTACTCTGTGTGCTCTGTTGGTGAGGAAATTATAAATCCATCGACCGACTTTTCCTGTTATTCCTTTAGCACGGATGTATGAAGAGTGGGGGGAGGGGGGATGTGTTGCCAGGGATGGGATTTAGTGATTATTCTTACTGCGGCTTTTGGTTGTAATGGAAATAACTAAAAGACCCCAATGGAAATAAGTCACTCTGTCTGACTGTTTTGGGTTATCCTAGGTTCTCTACACATATGCTGCTATGTGTGATAATTCTATGTAACTGTATTTGTGTATACCTGAATAAACTTGCTGACCGCCTCTCACACACGGCCCCTGGGCCGCCTCTCACACACGGCCCCTGGGCCGCCTCTCACACACGGCCCCTGGGCCGCCTCTCACACACGGCCCCTGGACCGCCTCTCACACACGGCTCCTGGGCCGCCTCTCACACACGGCCCCTGGGCCGCCCCTCACACACGGCCCCTGGACTGCCTCTCACACACGGCCCCTGGACCGCCTCTCACACACGGTCCCTGGACCGCCTCTCACACACAGCCCCTGGACCACCTCTCACACACGGCCCCTGGGCCGCCTCTCACACACGGCCCCTGGGCCGCCTCTCACACACGGCCCCTGGGCCGCCTCTCACACACGGCCCCTGGGCCGCCTCTCACACACGGCCCCTGGGCCGTCTCTCACACACGGCCCCTGGGCCACCTCTCACACACGGCCCCTGGGCCGCCTCTCACACACGGCCCCTGGGCCGCCTCTCACACACAGCCCCTGGACCGCCTCTCACACACGGCCCCTGGGCCGCCTCTCACACACGACCCCTGGACCGCCTCTCACACACGGCCCCTGGGCCGTCTCTCGCACACGGCCCCTGGACCGACTCTCACACACGGCCCCTGGGCCACCTCTCACACACGGCCCCTGGGCCGCCTCTCACACACGGCCCCTGGGCCGCCTCTCACACACGGCCCCTGGGCCGCCTCTCACACACGGCCCCTGGGCCGCCTCTCACACACGACCCCTGGGCCGCCTCTCACACACGGCCCCTGGGCCGCCTCTTACACACGGCCCCTGGACCGCCTCTCACACATGGCCCCTGGGCCGCCTCTCACACACGGCCCCTGGACCGCCTCTCACACACAGCCCCTAGGCCGCCTCTCACACACGGCCCCTGGGCCGCCTCCACACACGGCCCCTGGGCCGCCTCTCACACACGGCCCCTGGGCCGCCTCTCACACACGGCCCCTGGGCCGCCTCTCACACACGGTCCCTGGACCGCCTCTCACACACGGCCCCTGGGCCGCCTCTCACACACGGCCCCTGGGCCGCCTCTCACACACGGCCCCTGGGCCGCCTCTCACACACGGCCCCTGGGCCGCCTCTCACACACGGCCCCTGGGCCGCCTCTCACACACGGCCCCTGGGCCGCCTCTCACACACGGCCCCTGGGCCGCCTCTCACACACGGCCCCTGGGCCGCCTCTCACACACGGCCCCTGGGCCGCCTCTCACACACGGCTCCTGGGCCGCCTCTCACACACGGCCCATGGACCGCCTCTCACACACGGCCCATGGAGCGCCTCTCACACACGGCCCCTGGGCCGCCTCTCACACACGGCCCCTGGACCGCCTCTCACACACGGCCCCTGGGCCGTCTCTCACGCACGGCCCCTGGGCCGCCTCTCACACACGGCCCCTGGGCCGCCTCTCACACACGGCCCCTGGGCCGCCTCTCACACACGACCCCTGGGCCACCTCTCACACACGGCCCCTGGACCGCCTCTCACACACGGCCTCTGGACCGCCTCTCACACACGGCCCCTGGGCCACCTCTCACACACGGCCCCTGGGCCGCCTCTCACACACGGCCCCTGGACCGCCTCTCACACACGGCCCCTGGGCCGCCTCTCACACACGGGCCCTGGGCCGCCTCTCACACACGACCCCTGGGCCGCCTCTCACACACGGCCCCTGGGCTGCCTCTTACACACGGCCCCTGGACCGCCTCTCACACATGGCCCCTGGGCCGCCTCTCACACACGGCCCCTGGACCGCCTCTCACACACAGCCCCTAGGCCGCCTCTCACACACGGCCCCTGGGCCGCCTCCACACACGGCCCCTGGGCCGCCTCTCACACACGGCCCCTGGGCCGCCTCTCACACACGGCCCCTGGGCCGCCTCTCACACACGGCCCCTGGGCCGCCTCTCACACACGGCCCCTGGGCCGCCTCTCACACACGGCCCCTGGGCCGCCTCTCACACACACGGCCCCTGGGCCGCCTCTCACACACGGCCCCTGGGCCGCCTCTCACACACGGCCCCTGGGCCGCCTCTCACACACGGCCCCTGGGCCGCCTCTCACACACGACCCCTGGGCCGCCTCTCACACACGGCCCCTGGGCTGCCTCTTACACACGGCCCCTGGACCGCCTCTCACACACGGCCCCTGGGCCGCCTCTCACACACGGCCCATGGACCGCCTCTCACACACGGCCCATGGAGCGCCTCTCACACACGGCCCCTGGGCCGCCTCTCACACACGGCCCCTGGACCGCCTCTCACACACGGCCCCTGGGCCGTCTCTCACGCACGGCCCCTGGGCCGCCTCTCACACACGGCCCCTGGGCCGCCTCTCACACACGGCCCCTGGGCCGCCTCTCACACACGACCCCTGGGCCACCTCTCACACACGGCCCCTGGACCGCCTCACACACGGCCCCTGGACCGCCTCTCACACACGGCCCCTGGGCCACCTCTCACACACGGCCCCTGGGCCGCCTCTCACACACGGCCCCTGGACCGCCTCTCACACACGGCCCCTGGACCGCCTCTCACACACGGCCCCTGCCTGGACCGCCTCTCACACACGGCCGCTGGACTGCCTCTCACACACTGCCCCTGGACCGCCTCTCACACACAGCGCCTGGGCCGCCTCTCACACACGGCCCCTGGGCCGCCTCTCACACACGGCCCCTGGGCCGCCTCTCACACACGGCCCCTGGGCCGACTCTCACACACGGCCCCTGGGCCGCCTCTCACACACGGCCCTTGGGCCGCCTCTCACACACGGCCCCTGGGCCGCCTCTCACACATGGCCCCTGGGCCGCCTTTCACACACGGCCCCTGGGCCGCCTCTCACACACGGCCCCTGGGCCGCCTCTCACACACGACCCCTGGGCCGCCTCACACACGACCCCTGGGCCGCCTCTCACACACGGCCCCTGGGCCGCCTCTCACACACTGCCCCTGGGCCGCCTCTCACACACGGCCCCTGGGCCGCCTCTCACACACGGCCCCTGGGCCGCCTCTCACACACGGCCCTTGGGTCGCCTCTCACACACGGCCCCTGGACCGCCTCTCACACACGGCCCCTGGACCGCCTCTCACACACGGCCCCTGGGCCGCCTCTCACACACGGCCCTGGACCGCCTCTCACACACGGCCCCTGGACCGCCTCTCACACACGGCCCCTGGGCCGCCTCTCACACACGGCCCCTGGACCGCCTCTCACACACGGCCCCTGGACCGCCTCTCACACACGGCCCCTGGGCCGCCTCTCACACACGGCCTCTGGGCCGCCTCTCACACACGGCCCCTGGGCCGCCTCTCACACACGGCCCCTGGACCGCCTCTCACACACGGCCCCTGGGCCGCCTCTCACACACGGCCCCTGGACCGCCTCTCACACACGGCCCCTGGGCCGCCTCTCACACACGGCCCCTGGACCGCCTCTCACACACGGCCCCTGGGCCGCCTCTCACACACGGCCCCTGGACCGCCTCTCACACACGGCCCCTGGGCCGCCTCTCACACACGGCCCCTGGACCGTGGTAACCCATCAATACCAACAGTAACAACAATGGCAGCAACACTCAGGGTGCTACAGCCGGGTTTCCTTCACTACCGACAACTATCATGTGTGAGCACTTCTTATTGATGAAAACTTAACTTTAAACTTTCCATACATATATTCCACCGTTTGGGGGGGGGGGTAGAGCTGTATGACCCTAATGGGTTTAGCGCTTTTTTTTTAATTATAGGTGGTGTGGGGGTCGTGAATGTAACGTAAATTCTCACAGTTTGACTAAATATCCCCATGGAAATAAGTCGCTTGGATTTTTTTTTCGGTTGTTATCCTAGGTAATTTCCACTATGTATGATAATTGTAATAATGTGCACCTGTAAATAAACAAACTTACCCTCATGTAAATTTTTTTTTTAAGCTTTTGATTCTTTTTATAATGGTCTTGACATGTTAAGATTTTCTTCGGATTTTTAACCCTAGAGGGGTAGCCACCCAGGATAACCCAAGAAAGGCAGTGTATCATTGAGGGACCGTCTGCCTTTATTCCATTGGGGTCCTCAATCTTTTCACCCAGGATGCAACCCGCACCAGTCAACTAACATCCAGGTACCTACTTCCCTGCTAGGTGAATGGAGACAGTAGCTGTAAGGAAACACACCCTTGCTGGGGATCAAACCACGGACACTCGGTGTGTTAAGCGAGAGCATTGCCTACCAGTCCACGGGTCACCGTGAGCTAATAAAAATACATTATGCATATTTAACCCAGGATAACCCAATAGTCACTTGTTCTTAATATTATTAGATTATTATTATAATCAAAGAGGAACTCAAATCCCATAGGATTATGCAGTACCTGTGGGGGGAATGTGGAAGGTACTGAGGCTTAATTCAAGGAACTGGAGTATAGATTGAATTCCCTAGATCAAGAGCCCCTCACCAATATCAAGGAACCTTCCTTGAGGGGTGTTATTATTATATAAAATATCAGTTACTGTGCAAAGAGTATATGTTCATTATAAACATACAGCTAAGTGATATGTTTTAATGAGTTAATAGAGGATACCCTTATACTGTATATATGATGAGTATATACGTATCTGTATCAGGTTCTCTGTCATCTGTATCATTCAGACATGCATGCAGTCGAGACCACAGATTTGTTGGGGGAATAATCTTAGAGGTCTTGTGACTGGAATATGTTAATAATTCTCATTAACACTGGCATTTATAAACAAGTAAATCCTGTAAGAAAAATCCAGTGATTTAGGTATGGGAAAGTTAGTAAGCATAACCTTAATGAGGTACAGAAGTTAATTTTCCATGTGTGGGTTGCAATCCAAGCCATAAATATAGGCATCATAAATAATTTAATCACTTTTGAGATGGCCTTCAATAAAAATGTAGAGTATAATAAAATCTCATGAATTTTGAAACTTGCAAATTTGGAAATTCTGCTGCATTACATTATTCTTATCTTTACATGGTACATATAAGTACAGTTTCTTTTCTCCTTTCAAACCTGCTGCAAATACTCCTAAATGTACTCTCTCTGTGGGGAAGATTATGGTCTTTGGACCCTACTGGCTGGGGCATCTCATGTCAGCTGAGTACAACCAGGAAGGAGTTTAATGATGACAAACTTCCTTGCAATCAGTTTCCCGAATATCTTGCTGCAAATTTGGTCAAGGTTAGCAACCAAAGCCAGTTTGGTACCAGGGGTAATGAACACCGTTTCGTTGTATTTACATTAGGTGACCAGACCTCACACACCTTTTACTTGGTAATAAAAAGCACAAAATGGGTTGCCTGTCAAGGCCAATCTTAGTATGAACTAGTTTAGGAAGAGCTAAAGATTATCTAATGAATGTAACTACAGAAAAGGAGAGAAGTGATTTCTTGTATAGTTAATATACAATACAATACAATTTTATTTCTTTGCAAGTTTACATTGAGATTCTGTAGTTACAATAATGAGTTGCAATGCAAAGAGAGCCACTATCATGCCATGGCATTATGTGCAGACTAAATTAATGGCTTACAGACTACTTAATACTAGAGAAATTGATCATAGTAAGTTAGAGTCAAGTTACAATCAAGTTATAATCTGGGGATATTACATTGGGATAATTTGAAAGTATTTTGTAGGTTGTGTATATCAATAGTAAATATTTAAGTTATAATATTGGAATATAATATTGAGCATTGGTGAAAGTAGTTACAGTATGAGAATGCTACAATATGGTGTACAGCAATATAGTTTTGTGCAGGTATTTATTCTTCAGTGTAGTATTAAGTTATGTATGAACTTTGTTCTTTATGGTGAGTAGTTTTGGACCTTTGAATATTGGTGGAGTATGGTGTCTGGAGTGGGAATTTGTTATCATTCTGACTGCAGCCTTTTGCTGGGTTATTAGTGGTCTTAGGTGATTTAATGTTGTTGATCCCCATGCACAAATTCCATAGGTGAGATGAGGTTATATGAGCGAGTAATACAGTGTAAGGAGAGCTGATTGTGGAACATAGTACTGTATCTATGATAGTATGTCTTAGAGATTTTCTTGGAAATTTGTTGTATATGGGTCTGGAATTTAAGGCTACTGTCAAGGTGGATTCCTAAGAATTTTCCATCTGTGCATCTTGTGATGGGTGATCTGTTTAGCGCTTTGTTAAGTGGAACATTTGTGGCTCTGTGGAACATTTGTGGCAATTCAGCATTAACAGTGTTGGTCAGTATGACTGGGTTTGGTTGAGAGAAGACGTATGTTGTGTCATCTGTAAATAATATGGGTTTGAGTAGCTGAGATGCATTTGGTATGTCATTGATGTAAATGAGAAAGAGGAGAGGGCCAAGGACACTTCCTTGTGGGACCCCAGCTGTAATTGGTTGTGTGGAAGAGTTAGCTCCATTTGTGTACACATATTGGCTTCCGTTACAAAGGTATGACTTTAGGTAGTTAAGGGAGTGCCCTCTTATATCATAGTGTGTTAATTTAATGTGCAGCAAATCATGGTCAGCTGTATCAAAGGCTTTATGTAAAACAATAAGATTCCCAGCGGGACTTCTTTCTTCTTGAGAGCAGTGTATATTAGTTCTAGCATGTGTATAATAGCATCATTTGTGCTTTTATTAGTCCTGAATTCAAACTGAAAGGGGTTGAGTATGTCTTGAGAGATGAGTTAGGAATAGATCTGCCTATGAATTAGTTTTTCAAAATTTTAGAGAGCAGAGATAAGTTAGATATTGGTCTAAAGTTATTCAGGTCTGTTTGATCTCCTCTTTTGTGAATCAGGGTGACCCTTGCTATTTTGAGAACTGATGGGAAGGTGGAGGATTCAATGGATTTGTTAAAGAATGTTGCAATTGGTGACAGTACTTGAGAAGCTTTCTTGTACATAAAAGGTGGTAAATTATTTACAGTAGGGCCCCACTTATATGGCAGGTTAGGTTCCAAGCTACCGCCGTAAAGCAGAAATCACCGTAAAGTGGAACACCCTTTTTTTTTTCCTTATAAATGCATACAAATACTAGATAACAAGTTTACACTAAAATATATTAAGTTAGCAATAGAACTAGGCATCAATAAACAATAAAAAAGTACAATACACACATACTGCACTCATTACTTACCTTAAAATATTTATAGTCTTAATCTAGGGTGAGACAAGTAGTATTTATTGTAAGAAATCAAGTGTGGTATGTATGGTAGTCAGCTGGGCTACCATACCAAGCCACCCCACCCACACATACTATTCTATGATATTTAAGCATCTCAGAGCGATAAAATGCATATACAGTTCACTCATTACTTACCTTAAAATATTTGTAGTCTTAATGTAGGGTCAGGAGTGAGTAAACGAGATAAAATGAATAATTGAGAGAGAGAGAGAGAGAGAGAGAGAGAGAGAGAGAGAGAGAGAGAGAGAGAATGAGTACATGAGGGAGGACAGGTGCAGAGTTATGTAAACAAACCAGGTGAACACAAGTTTAGTAAACGAAGTGTACACGTCTGGCTTGTATACAATTTATATTGTGTACAGGTTGTCTCTACATTGATACGGTAGAATAAATAAAGAAGAACACTCTTATTCTCATCTAACACCATTTTTAGAAGAAATGACGCTCTAAGTGAAGGCAATGGAAATAAGTCACTCTGACTTTTTTTTGGGTTATCCTAGGTTCTCTACACATATGCTGTTATGTATGATAATCTATGTAACTGTATATGTGTATACCTGAATAAACTTACTTACATTCAAAAGGAATAATTTTCTACAGTTACCTCCAGTAAAACATTTTCTCTTATGTTAGACTAGAGAAAGTGTTATTCTTGCCGTCACTTGTACAAGTTATCTGGCTACCACTTCTCATATTTATGTTTATTTATTCTATTGTGGGGTGTATTTATCATCTTTATATGTTATGTATTGTGTTTATTATATAATTTTGAAAAAAATATCATGGATGGATTAATGAAAATGTGTATATTAACGTAATATACGACATTTAATGAGACTCGGTGATTATTATTATTATTATTATTATTATTATTATTATTATTATTATCATCATCATCATCATCATCATTTCTAATATGGCGTCACTTGTACAAGTTGTCGGGCTACCACATCTTATATTTATGTTTATTTATTCTACTGTGGGATGTATTTATCATATTTATTTGTTATGCATAGTATTTATTATGTAATTTTGAAAAAAATATCATCGATGGATTAATGAAAATGTGTATATTAACGTAATATATGACATTTAAATGAGACTCGGTGATTATTATTATCATTACTAATATGACATCTCGAGACATAAGACACTGATTTTAATACAGTGGACCCCCGGTTAACGATTTTAATCCGTGCAAGAGGGCTCATCGTTATGCGAAATAATCGTTATGCGAATGAATTTTCCCCATAAGAAATAATGGAAATCAAATTAATCCGTGCAAGACGCCCAAAAGTATGAAAAAAAATTTTTTTTACCACATGAAATGTTAATTTTAATACACACAAACTGAAAAAGGCATGCACAATTAAATGACACTTACTTTTATTGAAGATCTGGTGATGATTGATGGGATGGGAGGAGGGGAGAGCATT